CCATCGCCTCTGCATGCAAAAAATTGAAAAAGCGAAGCTGCCCGGTCTCACAGTACGAGTTAACCTAAAAGAAGGAAACGAAGAAGCAAAATATTTGAACTGAACGCAATATTCTGCTGGCTTTGAATTATTTTTAAAATTCTGATTTTTCTGAATGACAAAAGATGAACCTAAATCATCACAGGAAAATTCCTAGTCTGGGAAAAGAAAAGGAAAAAAGAGAAAAGAGAAAGCTACAGGGGTAAATATGAACCTATCCATCGACTGCATGGAAAGTAGATCAACCAGACCAGAAAAGCTAGCACCGCCTTGCAATGACAGAACCTAGCCATCAGCACCGAGCTCTCTTGTTACTGCATGATGGGCATTTGTATTGCTTGATATGCTCCGCCCTTGCAGGGGTAATCTTCACACATTTGCCATGGAACCACTTCTCACAGATGTCACAGCAAATCCAGAACTCATCAGTACCGTAATTCTCACCGCATGCCCCACACAAGGTATCTCCATGTTCATCATCTTCATCTTGCTCGTCTGGAACTTCATCCTCATCTTTGGGTTGCAACATCTTCGATTGTCTACCCTGGCTTTCTGAGGCTCTCTGCTCCCGAAGCCAATAAATAAAATGAGAAAAACGAACCAGCTCAGAAGTGTATAAACTCTTGACACTATGCTCACAAGCGCAAAGGGAAGATTGCAGGAATCAATCAGCACCAACAAATTTTCCATCCATTTAAGCAAGCATCTCGAGATGCACTCAAACAAGTGAATAACCACCACCTATAACCTACATTTTTTAGGGTTATATGCATATTTATATGATACAAAATTCCTACCTAAGCCATATACAGTTTCAATACATGCATAATAGCACATTGTGTCACAAATTTCATAATAATTGCACGAAATTAAACATCTCCACTTCTAGACTAGAAACCCCAGACATGAAATTGACTCATTGACCAAGGGGCATAATTACTAAAAAGGCCTCCATCTAAAAACAGACTGCACCCAAGACCAACCAGGATTTCTTCACTACATAAGTACACAATTATTGAACTATTAATGAACAAGTTTTACTTCTGAAATGCAATCATAAGAAAATTATATTTACCACCTTAGAGCCAGACTTAGATTTGCTGCCGCTTTGATTTGAAGACTTCTCCTTCACTTCTTTCTTTGCTGTACCGGTAACAACTTCAAAAATTGTTGGCAGTTCATTGATCATATTGAAAAGTCGTTTTCTGCATGGAGAACCAGATGGAAAGTTAATGGTTGCTACATCAAGAGACAGAGTGTCAATGAGCATAAATAAAATGTCACATAAGTCAGGCAGCCACGATCTAAGAACCAAGGTACTTTGCAGCCTTTAAGTTTTAATAGCCAACTCAATACAAGACCAGCACCCCCCCCCCCCCCCCAAAAAAAAAAAAAACCAACAAAAAAAAAGGAAGAAAATACAAGTTAATGTAAGATAAAATCTATGTAGGTATGCCTTGAATACAAAGTACCTGTCAGCTCTATCAAAACCAAATCTGGCTCCAAAATAGAAGGCCACGGAAAGTAACCATGCATCACTATGGACTGCGACTAAAGATAACCAGTCTTTTTCTTGCATGCCATCCCTGGCAAAATTAATTCCCAGAACAGGCTCGGGAAGCTCTGGAGGAACTTCTTCAGCAGGTAGGTTCACTTCCCACTGCTCACTAGGGAGTCCATACAAGCACAAATTCTCCTTCTCTGAAAGAGTAATATAATCATAACCAAAACAAAATATAAAGAGCAGAAAAGCTACAGATAAAGTAAGTATAAGCAAGGCTGACCTATTTCTGATTATAAAATACTGTGTGTAACAAATCTATCAATGCACTCAATACAATAAGAAATGAGGGGCTATAAAATACATTACTCACTAACCGCACTTAAAGAGGAGAAAATTTAAACTCTAGAGAGTGCACAAAAGGATACAAATGATATCATGAATCAACTGATGAAATGTCTTAAATTCTTAAAGAAAGCATTAGAGAGTATTGCACCAACTAGAAACTTAAAAAATTTACAAATGGGAAATGCAAAAATATTTACACACAGGGACTTTACCACCACAAACAATACCATTACACATCAGCGACTTAGCAAACAAGTTTGCTGAAAAGGAATAAATGAATGGAGAGCTAAGGACATTCCTACTAACCAGGGTCACATTGGCTGTAAAAATCTTCAACATCTGCAACAGAATGACCAAACAAAGAAATAATCAGCAAGAAAGTTTTTGCCACTCATATAGATGAAAAGATTCAATGACAAAAAAAATCTAGAAATTGTATTTAAAACAAACAAGACAAGATAATAATGTTTGGTTCGCCCACAATCAGCACAGAACAGAAGAAGACCAACATCCGTCATCTATGACTCTTCTAAAGCATTACTCCGGGCTCTAGATACTGAAACATTTAAACTCAGAACTCATATAACTTACTGCCATTTTCCTTATCCTATTTCAACCAATAACCATCAAAATGAAAATTCATACAAAAGTACTGAAAATGTTTTTACGGATAATAGTTGAAAAGGGAAAGAAACCAAGATTAACAACCCCTGCGTCAACTGTAAAAGAGGCCTAAGCCAGCCTCACTGAAAGGAAAATGACAAGACTTACAAGAGAGAGAAAGAGAGAAGCAAATGTCATGAACCTTACAACAGAAACCAATAATTGTAATCCACACCAACATAGATAATTCCAGCTCTAAACCAAGCCTTGCGGGTTATACCCAATGCTACCCTGTCCATCTTACAAGAAAGGGTATAGCTTGACTGTACATTATACTAACAAACTGCTCTGGAAACAATAACGGAAAAGCATGATTCCATCAGGAATTCCCAGTATCAGTTGCATCCATGTGACAGTCTAACGTGTGCAGTTTGAAAGTTAAACCTGTAAATAGGTTCTATAAGGTAAAAGCCCAACTCAATAAAGTATGAAAAAAGTCGTCATGACATTTCGTTTTGGAGGAAGAGGTGGATTTTCCGTTTCTTTTACGCTCGTGATTAGCATGAATGAGGAAAAATTGAGAATGCGGGACAATCTTCTCAATAACAAATAACAATGTTAATAGATCCCTTCCCACTCCAGAGTTCGTGGAAATTAAGAACAAAAAAAAAATAATAAAGAGCCTGATTATTTTGCACTGAATGCAGAAAACTTTGAACGGAAAGCAGCATTAAATACAATTCAAAGATAAGTTAGAAGGTAAAAGTAAACAACGAAAAAGTTCCTCCCTCGATATCTTAGATAATAACAAACAGTGAAGGTTAGTAAATAATTTAAGCAACTGCCATTTTTATCTCAAAAACACTGTTGGGTTGAAGAATTTCTGCTTCTCTTCACTCATGAGTAACATGGATGATAAACAACTGAAGGTACAGGACAATCTAGTCAAAAAGAAACACCGAATTCAACAAATCCCCTTCCATGTTCCTCCCAAATATTCTTGAGATAACTCTAAAGCCCTCACTCCAATTTAACCATTAGGAAATCAAAACTAACGAAAATAAATAAATATAAAAACCCTACTGGTTCGCAACGAAAGTGCACAGATTTAAGCCGAAGCAGCTGCAAACACCGCATTAAAACTTACCCCTTCCCGTCTTGTATACGGTTATTCTCGCGGACAAATATCAATGACCCAGAAAAGACGAAATAGAGAAAGAGAACAAAGACACAGAAATGCGAGAAGCATGTACCCGTTGTAAGGGCTTTAATCATTCCAGCTCTTCGGCCTTTGAAATCCCTGAAAACCTCTTCAACAGTGCGAGGATTACAATTTGTTCGCGGGTCCATTACCTCAACTTCCCTCTGAGAGTCTTAAGAAGCAAAATCAGAAACAATGACTGCCTCTGTGCACAAGACAGAAGATAACGAGAACCAGGTCGTCTAGCGAGAGAGATTGAACGGAATTGCTGGTCAGAAGGTGGCGGTTCCTGCCTTGAGAAATTCAGAAAAAGGAAGGCTGTGTGGAGGGGTGATGGTGTGCAATTTGAAGGAAGGTATTTCTTTATGGAATTGACTTGGGTTTTTGATATTAGGTTTTCTGGTTTAAATTTTAATTAAGGGGGATGAATATTGTAACTATATGGCTCCTTCATAAAATATAGAAAAATATATTATGTAGAAATATTGAATTTTTGGCTCAAAAAAAAAAAAGAAATACTGAGGTTTTTTAAAAATGGAAATACATAATTTGGAGTAAATGCAATAGGCGTGTATTTTCACTTTTGTAAACCTCATTAAGGAATGAATAAATGATGATAAGTGATTTGATTTTTATCTGGATATCATAGGAAAAATAATAATAAATAATCATTTCAATTTTACAGACTGTGTTAATTATTTCTAAAATTTAAAAATTTATCATATTTTATCTAAAAATTAATACAATCTAATAATTATAATCAATGGTTATTATACATTTACTATTCATGCATCCAAATGACAATTTTTTAAAATTATAAAGTTTTAGTATATTTTTAATTCTATCAATGAATTATATGTATTTTCTCTCGCTGCAATATCTTTATGTTGATTAAATTGTATTTTGATTCACTAATTTTGTACAGAGTTTTAATTTAGTCTTCTAATTTTCTATCTAGTTTTTTAATTGTAACGCCATAATCTCAAATAATAATTTTGTATCCTAATCATTATTATTTTAAAAATTAAATATGATATGTCCATATTTGATAATATTTTATTCATATTTAAAATTTTAATAGAGGTACTTTACTTTTTTTAATAAAAAAAATCCTTATGTGAAATTAAGAAATCAAATGGATGCGCTTTGTTTAATTTAAATACGATCGCATTTATAGTCTATTTCAAATTTTTGAAATTTTATATATAATGGTAGTAGTAGACTAGTAGTAGTGTCAATAGTAGTAATGTAATTGTAACAAAAAAAAAAAGTAGTAATAGTAATAATAATAATAATAATTTTTATATATCCACTGAACTATTTCTGAAAATTACATATGAAATAAGAATTCAAGCGGCGGGCTCAAGTTACATTTCATCCAATTCTCCCTGAAAACACACACATTCAAACATATCCTGTTTTTATTAGGATTTAATTCCAACAGGTCTATATGTTTACATATAATACATACTTAATCTAATTAAATATATAGCAAAGACCTAAAAATCTCTCCTTAAACAAGCTAGTAATAGAAATACACAACATAAAATGAGCCGAGGATGACTTCCCAAGGGATGCAATCAAGCAGTGATCTTTTTCCAACCGAAAGATGAAACAAGAATAACCGCTATAACTTCCCCTTTCAAATCTGTCACATGAAGACAGACAACCCATGCTGATTCTCATCACCACTCATATGGTCAACTGAGAAACTATGCACATTGATTCCAACATTAGAAGGATATCTTCTGGACAACCTCAAATTTGATTCATGTTGTTGCTGTAAGATGTTGTCGCTGTCAGAACAAGTGGAGGTGGGTGCGCTGCCTCTGCAATTTTCTAACCCAAGAAACTCAGGTTCTGTTCATATTGACTTGCTGAAGGTAGTTCTGATGATTCTTGAAGCTTCTTGGTGTTAAGAAAGCGTCCACCGGAACCTCTGGCTCTCTTCAACGCATGTAGATGCCGAGACTCGTGAAGATATGGCTGCAGAATTTTACAATCTCAGTGTGTTCAAGTGAAAGTGATGTTGAAGAACAAGGAAAGGGAGAGGGAAATGAAAATGCACTTACTTTCCGCGTTTTGCTGAGTTTGTTCTGTGATTCGAGTTTTGATCGATGCTGTCTTCGCCTCAGAATTGCATGATATTGTTTTGCATTCACAAATATGGGTTCTTCAGTGAAGTCAAGTGGAAGTGGAAGTCGAAGAGGAGCCATTCCCATTAGTTGAGCATGATGAATCTGGTTAGATATATAAAATGGAGTATGTTTCAGACAAGGGAAACCCATTCTGGCACTATTGCTGCTTTATGCCTTTAACTCAGGTCACATGGCTTTATAGACTTACTTTACAAACAGAATATAGCAGAAGAGAATCTGAAGAGTAAAAGACTGAAGTGAACAACCTTATTACAGATGGATAGTCCACTTACTTTCTTCATAAACTATCCATTTGGTATCACAGCAGAAAAGGAATTCCAAGTTTTCCTTTTTTTAATGTACAGGTACGACGGTTATTTCATCACCAAAATCAACTTTTTTCCATTCTACTTCTCAGTCCATTTCCTTATGTCTATCAAACGGGGGAATTAAAGTCAACAAGCATAACATGCTTTCTTCTAAAGAATACTGCATATCTTAAAAGTTTATTATAAAAACAACAGGGTCAAAGAAAGGAAACAATATCCCCACAAAGATGAATTATTTTTACTAAACGAGCAAAGCAATGAAAGAATAAGGCAAAGGAGATGCAAAGGAAAAACTAAAACGCTTATTATTAAATGAAAAGTTACTTTATAGGCCTCACTTTCTAAAGACTAAGAATCTCCAAGGCTGGAAAATAACATGTAGCACAATAAATCTAAAAAGAATAATTATGCATGGATAACAAGATGAAAGATATGGACAGTTTTTTTTTTTTGGGGGGGGGGGTAGATATGGACAGTTGATTGACCATTTAAAAAGTGGTATATAGCCGGTAGCCACACAAACAGCTGGCAGATGTAATTTACTCCTGAAAGCCATTGGCAGTTTTTTGCTGAAAGGCTTTGCTCAGAATTTTTCCTGAGTTTCACATACTAGCATGCTTTTTTCTACTAGAAGCTTTCACTCTAACTCCTAAGTTCAACTAAGGGTGGGATGGGATCCTCGCCCTTGGCAGCCAAGAGACAGAGATGGAACCGAGAGAAAAATTGTTGTGTAGTGCTATTATGTTGTTGTTATCATTATTCAACAATATTTGTCTTGGTATAGGCATTAGAATAAGGGGTATGACGTCATTTCACACCCTACCTACCAGTAGTTTTCACTTGATATTCCCTTCATTTCCTTGTCACCATACCTAAGATGCCCTTAGGATGAGTTTGGATTGAGAAGAATGGGAGGAAGGGAAGGGAAGTCAAACTTTATTTTTTTTAATTTAAATCTAAATTTTTCCTTAAAATAAAATAAATTTTTCCTTAAAATAAGTTTGGACTGGGGAGAGTAAATGAAAGCATAAGAAATTATCAAAATTAAACTTTCATTTCCCTTCCCTTGCCCTCAATCCAAACCATAACCTTAATAACAAAGCCAAATTCATTCTCACAAAAATCAGAAAAACCAACAACCGCAATTTTTTTGTGACAACCAATGACAGCAATTTTGTTTCCATCAAACTCTAGCATAAGAAAATTTCAACTATATAATATACTGTTATGCTGGTCACAAAATCACCAAAAACAAGGAGACATAAATATACTAATAAAAGAAAAGAACATACTCTGATATCTTAGACTGTAATTCACATGCAGCACTTAAAAGACGACCAAAAGATGAGTTGGGTTTATGGGATGCAATATGTATCTGTAATCCTAATTTTAAGGAACAGAGATGCACCTATCTTACATACACAGAACACTAACGTAAGTATGTGTCTACTTACAGTTGATTTGTTATGATCCAGAAATGGAGAAGCGAAGGCAAAATCCTGCCTCCCCACAGATGACCTGATGAGACCTCCCAAGGACATTCCCTCAGAAGAACTGCTATATTGCATAGAAAACTGACCTATTGTAGGAAGGAAGGCAAACATCAATTGATATGAATTGTGAAGTACCAAACCCATGCAATTGAAAATATTTGTTTGATGGCTAAGCCATCTCAGATCATTTTAAAAGCATGATATACTACAGATGTCATTATTCTACAAGAGTTGATGCTAAGTAAGAAGATATCATGCGGCAACTAGAATGTTATTGTATATTTGCATTACTTCGTGTCTTTTCTTCTGGTATCCATAGTGCTGGAGTTTCATCATAGAAATATTGTACAGCAATAGCAGAAAACCAGCTGGTAATGAAATTATTTCAAAATTACAGATACTAAACAGAATTTCATTTAAAATAATGATACCTGAATTTGCCGAAACACCTTTAGGATAAGATTGCTCATTTGGTTGAGTTGAAGATGAGAGTTGTTCTTGAAATGGAAAACTAGACAGCTTAGTATTAAGACATTGTTGTGGAAGAACTCCCATGTTTAAGCTCAAACCTTTGGACATAGGTGATTCTTGTCCATGAAATCCAGATGAAGTTTTCCATGATGAGCATCCAAGAAAATCAGGGGATGTTGAATGAGCAGAACGTAGGCCAAAATCTTTCTTACATGAACCCTTCATCGTACTTCACTATGGCCTAACCATTACCTATTAAAATACAAATTCACTGAAACTCAGACATTAAACGAGGCAGATAACATGGATTTGGCTACATCTTTCTCAATCACCAGCAACCATGAACAGTATACCTAGCAAATTGCTGTTGCAGTAAATATTAGCAGCTGAAAGTTGAAAAGCCTGAACTAATTGAATGAATTTGATTCTTCACTTACCTGATGACGCCAAACCAGAGATAAGCATGAAAAAACTTATACAGGAACAAACAAATTCACACGTGCATATGTGTTTGAAACCATTTTCATGATGTGTGTGGGAGAAAGAAACCATCGTCCTCTTGTCACAAGGAAGCAAGGATAGGATGAAGAACTGTATAGAGAAGATCCTATGAGGACCTTGTCAATACTTTAATAAAAGAATCACGGATTGTCACTGATTGATATATATAAACTCTTGAATCAACATATCCCATAGTAACCATGAGCCATTAATCATGACATCTGAATAGCCTTGCAGAAAGAAAACAGACAATATTTTAAGCAAGTTTAATGCAATATTGGTCTGCACTCTGCTAAACTGAGAAG